ATTGCAACAACACCCTTGAAACTCTCGATATATCCATTGTCAACAAACACCTCAAGACACAGCTCCCATACACCTCTGTTTGGGCTGTTCTAGACATCATGCTGTCCAACCGTAAACGATTTCCGCATTTCAGAGTGCTAAATATTCGTCTTGTCCAGCTGAATCTGTGGAAACTGACGGTGGACCCGAGGACCGTTGTGAGCGAGATTGTGGCCCGTATGCCACGGCTGACGGGAGCGGGAGCGGGAATGCTAATGCTTCATCACGGCTAGTCCCCAACTGTTTGTGGATCGCAGGGACTTGCTCTCAGCTGGAAGTCATTGAGCGCATAGCAATTCTCCTACTCCCCATCTACACCATCCTCTCTCATCCCACAAATGGCCGCCGCCCCTAATTGGACATTGGTCTCTATTTGTTCGCCCCCGGCCTTAAAACGGGGGCCTATTTCAAATTGTACTATAATTATGACAATCCTGTGCAACGCCGCCACCCTGCCGCCACCCTCTTCTTCTGCCACATCCATGCAGCAAACTCAAGAGCTACCTGCAGAGCTGGTCAACGCTATCTTTGAGCGGTGCTCTCAGGACATGCTCAAAGACCTTTCCATTACTTGCCAGCGATTTCGAGACATCGCGCACTCGATCCTTTTCCGTAAAATCTACGTCTGCGTCGACGCCCTCGAATCGGACACGCACGCGTACTACAAAGCTCGGTTCCTCGAGGAATCACCCCATATCGTGCAGCATGTCAAGGTTGTTCACGTTTGGATTGCCTCGGGGTTCTATATCGAGTCGTCCTGCGCCATACTTGCCCAGCTCCGGCATAGGACCATCCACGAACTTGACGTGGATGTAGCGCTCCATGTCACTCGATCGGGGCCATTCGACGAGCTGGTTATCAAGATGTGCAAGTCACCTTGCCTCCAGAGGCTTACACTTGGAAACTATCCTCCATCGCGCGCTCTGGCTTCACTCCAACCGTCATTGAGCCACCTCACACTTGCTCTTCAGTCGCAGCAGGTTCCAGCGAAGTGGGCTCCACCTGAGCGGTCGCGTTGCGCCAGTCTGGATAGCCTCGGCTTTGTATGGGACCGTCCTTTCCCTAGCCCTGGATCGGAGATAACATTGAGAATCTTCTCTCAAATCCTACACTTTCTTGACGAAGATCGGAGCAGGGTTGATCTGCGTCAACTCAAATCTTTCCATATGCCCATCCAAATGGGAAAAGACATCCACGGCCTATCTGAGTGTCGCGCGGTGCTTGCACGATGCCAGCATACGCTTCAGACGCTATCCCTGGTCATTGACTGTGCGTGTCTGCCTTTTTTTCAACTTCATACCGTCCTGATGTAGCCTGTGAGCACAGTTCCAAGAGACCGTTCCATTAACCTGCCTCCGCTGGACAGTGTTTTAGTCGGGATTGAGGTCCTTAGTCAACTTCGGACATTTGAAGTCAAAGCGGCCGGAAGGATGGAGCATTCTATCCGCTGGGTACACGCACAACTGAACGCAGCTTCAAGCCATTGCCTGAACCTCCAGACAGTCGATTTTTTCGTTGTCACCGGGGATGTCACAATCCATGAACCCCACACTTCTGTATGGGGTCGGCTGGACGCCTTGCTCTCCGACCGTAAAGGCTTCCCGCATTTGAGGGCCGTGAATGTTCGCCTGGATATGCGTACTCTATCTTGGTTGTCGGTAGGCGTTAGAGTCAGCGCAAGCGAAATTGTGGCAAAGATGCCACGGTTGACGGAGGCGGGGATGTTGAGGGTTGATCATATGTAGTCTGCAAAGCCTAGCAGTTTGCTCGCTGGTTCTTGTCCAATCAGCCCGGCGATAGGGCGGGAGCAAATTTCGAGCTGTGCTATAATTACGATGAGACAATGCAGCGCCATCGGTGACTCACCTCGCTTCTTTCTTACTCCACCACATCCATGCAACGCACTCTGCCTGCCGAGCTGGTCAAATCCATCCTGGAGCTATGCGCTGAGGGGACGCTCAAAGACGCATCGCTTGCCAGTCGGCAATTTCGAGACATTGCTCAGCCAATCGTCTTCCGTACGATCTTTGTTCGTGTCCGAGTTCTCAGGCCAGCAGGAGAAGCATATCAAAAAGCAATGTTTCTGCAGGGATCACCTCATATAGTGAAGTTTATCCGGGTGATTCGGATATGGATTGGTTCAGAGTCTCACATTACACCTGCCAATACCATAATTGCCCAACTTCGGCACAAGGGCGTGGAGGAGCTCGAGCTTGATATAGCCCCCAGTGTCCAAACGACGCGGACGTTCGATGACTTTATCATCAAGATGTGCAAGTCCTCACGCATGCAGCGGATTGCGCTCAGAAACTATTCCCGGTCACGCATTCTTTCCTCACTCCGGCCTTCACTGAAGGACCTCAAAGTCTGTCTTTGGCCCCTCGAGGATGCCTCGCGGTGGCCTCGACCTAGGCGAACGGATCCCATTGTGTTGGAAAGTTTGTGCATGGTATGGGAGCCTCCTGCCCCCAGTCCCTACGTAGGGCAGGATCCACCCCAATTCCTGCAGGCCGTTCCTCAGCTCCTACACTTTCTCGACAAAGACCGGAGCAAATTCGATTTATCTCGGCTCAAATATCTCCAAATTCCTATTCACATGGGTATTTGGACAGAAAAAGTCAATCATGGAGTATCCGAGTGTCGTGCTGTGCTCTCGCAGTGCCAAGATACGCTCGAGAGGCTATCCCTTATCATGGAATGTACGTGCCTCGTGTTCTTCGTTGCGTCAAACATTTTTGTTGATCTCGACGCTGTTATAGGGGAGCTTTCTACTGACTTGCCACCACTTGATGCATGGGATACTGTTTCACTCGACATCGGGAACCTCCCTCGTCTCCAGATCTTTGAAATCAAAGTAACAGGGTGGATGGAGCACGCTCTTCATTGGGTCTACGCCCAGCTGCGCGCAGCTTCCTGTACCAACATCCCCTTCGACACGCTTACCATCTCCATCACCAATCGAGACGTTATTAGAACTCAACGACCGTACACTGCTGTATGGCATAGACTTGACGTGATGCTCGCTGACCGTCAACTCTTCCCGCATCTCAGAGTTATGAATATATTCTTGGAGGAACCTATCAGTCGATGGAGGCTGCCGGTAAGCCTGGGTGGGGTTGCAAGGGAGATTGTGGCCCGTATGCCACGGTTGGTGGAGGCGGGGATGTTGACGGTTGATCATGCTTAGTTTGAAACTGTCTGCGTTTGAACGAGCCCTCACCATGTCTCCAAAAGGGGGAATGAAAAATCCTCTGCTGGAAGTCACGCGTGCCTGGCGGCGTGCGTGATCTTCTTCGACTCTTTCCTTGGTTCTTTCCAATCAGCAACTTTGGGGCGGGATCTCGCTTGTACAGCACGGGGAATGTACTGTAATTTCAACGAATCCAATGCCGTGTTGCTACTACGTTTCTAACTCACACCGCAACCACATCCATGCAACAACCTCCAAAGCTACCTGGTCAAAACCGTCTGCGAGAAATGCTCTTAAGAGACGCTTAGAACCGTCTCACTCGCTAGCCCGCAGCTTCGAGATATCACGCAGGCGGTGCTTTCCCGTAAACTCTACGTTTGCGTCGACGAATCAGACAGAAACACCTACGCCAGAGCAAATTTTCTCGAGGAGTCGCCTCATATCGCACAGCTCGTTCGGGTTATTCAGATATGGGCTGCCTCGGGCCCTCGGCACTTTAGTGTGAAGCAATCTGTACTATACTCACCCAGCTTCGATACAAGACCGTATTGGAATTCGACTTGGGTGTGGCACTCAGCGTCATTTGCTCGGGACCATTCGAAGATTTGGTCATCAAGATGTGCAGGTCATTGTGCCAACAGAAGCTTACACTCCAGAACTATCCCCCATCGCACGCTTTGGCATCGCTTCAGCCCTCTTTGAGTCACCTGGCAATTGGTCTTGAGCCGCAACAGGACTCCGCCGAATGGGCTCAACCTGAGCGATCACCTTGCGCCACGCTGGAAAGCCTTGGCTTTGAATGGGATCGAAACCCTCCTGACCCCATCCCAAGGATGGTATTGAAGGTCGTACAGCAAACGAGCAAGAAATACGGGCATAAATGACTAATAGAGAGTTTGCGCAAGAGCCACCAGGCGCCACTAGTGGGTATTTTTAGTCACACGTGGCTAATTCGCTGTGCGCAGAACTCGCGCACCGTTGCTCGCGAAATACAGCTTCAACGGAACAAATATTTCATAGAGTCTCTTACTTATAGCCTATCGTGCTCATGTTAACCCAAAATACCAGTGAGATTGGTTGTGAATTGACAAAAAGGACCTTCTTTTACAAAACGGCGGGCCACCAGACCCGCCAGAACGCCACCAGGCGCGATTTGGCGCAACGCTCCATAGCCACTAGGTGGCGCCTGGTGGCTCTTGCGCAAACTCTCTAATATCAACAAAAATGTACTTCAAACATCGGGATCAATCCGGCCTTTGCTGGAATCGAACCAGCTTCTTAAAGGACAAATGGCTAAAGGACGGAAATTCACTTTGTGCATTCTGCCAAGTATGCTAAAAGGCCTAGTGTAATTATACAAGTATACGAGGTGAAAGGTTCGTCTGACAAGACTCGGTCGAGAGGGCCATCGGGGAAAGCCGAGTCGGATTCAGATGGCAGCAGGAACTCTCACTTGGATCAACTACGTTGAGGAAGTTTGGACGAAAGCAAGCTATTGAGCCTTGAAGTTGAAAGGCGATATTTTTATTCTTGAGGCACCACCATACTCCCAAGCGGTCTCTGGACGAAGAGAGGGATGATATCAGTTCATGTCAGCGAACCATAACCTTTCAATCGTCGTTGGACATGGTGCGCAAGCTGGGAAAGAGCATTAAAGCACTATGAACGACTATTAAAACAGGTCGTATTGATATTCACCTACTTCTACTTATATGCGACTAAGATATCCAGACGAAAGATACGTCATGGTGCACAAAGCGCCATCCAGGAACGGCCTTTGCTGGATTCGAACCAGCTTCTCAAAGTCAATTACATGTAACAGACCGAAAATGGCAAGTGGACGGTGTCTTTGTGCATTTACCGAGTATGCTAAAAGGCCTTGCTTTTTGAGGCGGAGGATTCTTGAGTGCGATTGTCAGATCCATGGACATTGACAGCGCCGTATCATCGTTGAATTGTCACTAGAGGGAGATGAATTCCTATCGATTTTTAGAAGAGTTCTACTCGTTTCTTGCATCTGCGTGAGAGACGGAAGTACAGAAAAGATGAAAGGATAAAATTAGAAAAAATTGCAGCGTTTTGAGCGGCCTCTGCTGGAATCGAACCAGCTTCTCAGAGTTAAACAAACGTTTCACGGTTCATCACGATCACTTTTGTGCATTTACCAGATGTGCCAAAAGACCTTGCAAAGATAAAGTATATCAGATCTGACGTTACCACGTATGGTCGGTCACCTTTTGGTTTCTCATCGCAAAGTATACTGGGCACTTGATCACTCAATTTCGTATGCATGGGACTAACAATATCGATGATGAACACGAAATATGAGACGGAAAAAAACAATAAGTCAGGTGTATCCACAATGCGGCCTTTGCTGGAATCGAACCAGCTTCTCAAAGTTCACATAATCTCTAGTCTGCGCGAACACGGATGTTTGACTTTGCGCATGTACCAAGTATGCTAAAAGGCCTTGCAAGCAGCGTTGGTGTTATCTGATCGAGTAGATAAGCCTGGAAGCTTCTGACACGAGGTGGCGTTCCACGAGGCGAGGTCGACAGGGGCAATTATATAGGAAAAGAAATTGAATGAACGAGGATGGCAATGGCAGATGAATAGAATAAAATAAATGCATCTGGAAACGAATCTCGTCTCGACGCGGCCTTTGCTGGATTCGAACCAGCTTCCCAAAGGTGAATGAAGCCCGACTATATTCTTGACTATATCTTTGCGCATTCGCCTGTTATGCTAAAGGGCCTTGTGACTTTCAATCTCTGTAATTATCAAGGGACGAAGACCTGAGACGAGTGAGGAAGGGAGGTAGTGGCGACGATAATCCGAGTCGGGGGTCGGTGCTAGGTGGGAGGTCCGACAGACGCAAGGAGAGATAAAATCCTGTCGAGCGTTGCAAGAGTTTGAGTACGCCGTGGCTCGCTTGTCGCCTCTACCGGGGAGCAGTAGTTACAGGTGGGAAAAAAGTACGGAAGTAAGACGAGTGGCCTCTGCTGGATTCGAACCAGCTTCTCAAAGTCAAGTATATACAGGAACTAGTAGGTTGGGAGGACACTGTCTTTGTGCATTTACCAGATATGCTAAAAGGCCTTTGCTCTTTTCGAGATGGGGGACTCTTGAGTGTGGACATTGAATCTGACCGCATCGCCGTAACGTAGGATTTCCGCTAGAGGGAGGCGGCGATGGGGAGGGGGGAGAGATGAACTATTTTTTAGTCGTCGCTCGCAAGTTTTACAGGAGAGTTTAGACTCCAGAAAAGATGTATAAAATTTTTGGATTAGCGTGGCACAGCTTGAGTGGCCTCTGCTGGATTCGAACCAGCTTTCTCAAAGTTGCAAATGTAATTAATATACGCATGAACAGAACCCACGTTATTGCGACTTTGTGCATTTACCGGATATGCTAAGAGGCCTTGTTACTTGCTCACTATTTCTTACTATCGAGCGCAATGTACATTGACGCTGATCCTGGCGAAAGGATGTCTCGCCCTCGTCCATGGCGAAGTCGTCTATGATCTCCTCGACAACCACTACTGCACCAACGCCGACCAGCCCGGAGTCTAGAACAGGGCAGTGCCTCGGAAGCTTTCAAAATTGGCGAAGAGCCGCTCAGAACGCGAGGTTGCCGTAAGATGATAGAAGCTCACGGAAGCTCGAGGAACGTGTTGGGGGATGTGGGGAAGAGAAGTAGAAAAAGGAATGTTTGATGTCGGATATGGAAGGGGGCGTGGATCAGGATGTGTTCAAGATTTATTTGAAAGGGTGGATCAGGAGGTCGAAGTCGTGCATCAGAAGAGAGCGAGAAAAGGGAAAGAGTACTTTAGAAGGCAAGGAGATGTCGTGATGCTCAGGGGTCTTAGGTTATCGGATTGCCGCGAAGGAGGAAGCGGATGTGCGAGAGGTGAGGTTGGTTGGATGTTTGGTTGACGATTCGGAATACCGAGGAGGGAGGGGGGTTAAAAGACGAGAAAAACGTCAGAGTACTAGGCCAAGAGGGAGGAAAGAGGTAGGAATGGGAGATAAGGAACGACCCGGGGCGTAGAGAGGTAACCAGGACGATTTATATCCTCAGAGGTGTAAGATTGTCTGGGATCATCTGAAGGGTTTCAGGGTTTGAGTAGTGAAAAGTGGGTCAGTCTGGGACGACATCGGCTGGCGATAGACGTCTTCAAGACAAAACATCGACGATGAAAAGCGAAAGCGCGATGAAGACCAGAGCTGTGACATGCATCCGCTGTCGACGGGTGTTAGAACGGATATACGGTTGAAGGTATAACCCCCAGGTACGCTGATTGGCTCTGACCTCGTGTCGGGGGTAGAATTGGGTGATTGCGTCGATAAAAGAGTGGAGATTGATGGGTGGAGCGCAGCAGTACGACTGAAGTCAGGAAATCCGATTATCATCGAGCGCAAGAAATTTTTGAAAGCAGATAGGTCAGAGGAACAGCGGCAAGAGGGGCTGTTCAAGGGACTGTGGAGGAGGAATTGAATCGAAGCATCGATGTGTATACAGTTTTGGGATCTCATCAAAACAACGGCGGAGGCAAAAAGGCGCGCGCAAACGTCAGCTCCTCGGCAGGCCGCAGTCAAGTTTGAAACTCCGCTATTCTTAGTCATGGATTTGGTATGAGTGGCTTTGAGGCTTCAACTCTTTCGTCTTCTCTACCTTTCATTTCAAAGAAGAAGATGCAGGTCGACCATCCCATACGCCAGCCATCCTGGGATGTCGGTGATCTCTTCCACTCTGACCTCTTCTCCGCAAACAACAACACTAGCACTAGTCACGCCTCGACCTCCTCGCCATCGTCGTCGTCGTCGTCGCCCGGTGGCAACCACTCAATCTCAAACGCTTCCTCTCCTTCCTCACGCGAGGCAACTCCTCTTGCAACTCCTCCCTCCATCTCCCTAGGCGAGCAGTTCCCCGAACACCACACCGCCCTCACCGCCTCATCCTCGTCGTCCAACCTCCAATCACCCGACGCCCTTTATGGATTCTATGATTCAGCCTCCACAGCATCCAACAACGATGCACGCGAGCTCTTGGGCGCAACAGGCCCCAAATCGCCCGGGTTCATGAATGCTTTTGGCGCTGGCGCCGGTGTTGGTCCTCCAGCGTCCAACCCCTACAGCTTTCCCATGGATGATGCCGATTTCAATGCCTACATGACGGGGCTGGAGGAGACGTATGGGATTACGACTAATCCTGCTGCTGTCGCAGGGACGTCCCCGGCGTCGTCCTCGTCGAGCACTTCACCGCAGCAACAACAGCAACAGCAAGCCCAGACGCACACACAAACACAGCAACAGCAGGGGATGGAGATGATGTATGGATTCAATAATATGGATCTAGAGATGATGTCTCTCCCCATGTCGCTCGATGGTGCTTTTGGATCCATGAATGGTGAGTCGCTTTTACACCTTTTACCCTTTGAGCGTCTATTGACAATAATTGAAGGCTCGAACAACCCATACGCAGGTCTGCCAATGATGGGCATGTCCATCGATCCTGCTGATTCCATGGCGATGGGTCTCAATATGAACATTGGAATCGACCCTCAACTCGTCGACTCGCCTGCGCCACTCGTCGTCATGGACGACGACGACGAATCCCCCAGTAAGGAGGAGGAAGAGGAGGAAGGTGAAGACGGGGATGATGAAGAGGAGTCTGAGGAAACCGCTGCTCCTGTCCCAGCCAAGAGGGGCAGGAAGAAGAAGGTCATTGTCGTCGACACCACTACAGCTACCACCAGACGAAGCGCCCGGAAATCCAACGACTCGTCGTCTCCTACGTCTCCCACCTCAGACAAGGAAAAGCTGACGCTGACCATCGCACCCGTCAAGGTCGGCGGTCGAGGAACCGCTTTGGGGAGGAGAGGAACCGTCATGAGTGGGGGTGTATCCAAGCGCGGAGCCGTCGCTGGAAACTCGTTGGCGACTAGCGCTCTCGGCTCTGGTCTCTCATCCTCTTCGATTTCTACTCCGTTGAGTGAGAGGAGTAACACGCCGGCGCCTGCTGCGCCAGCCAAGAGGGGTAGGAAGCCTGGCCCCAAAAAGGCCGCTGCCGCGGAGCAACAGGAAGAGACGACGACGTATGCCCCACCTCCTCCTGTCGTCGCACAGGACTTCCCAATCACTTCGACATCGGGTCTTCCCGTCCTCCCCGCTCCCACCTCTCTTCCTACCACCTCCTCGACGCCTACGCACGCCCGTACCGCTTCAACGTCCAAGTCCACAGCGGCCAAGGCGGGTGGTGCAGGCCCTGGAGTCCCTCATTCCTCTTCAGGTCTAGGCATCGTCCCCCCGCCTCTGCCGAATGGTCAGAAACATTTGACGCCTGTTGATCTTGGACTCGGCAAGACGTTTGCGTTTGCGATCCCGATGGGCACGTTCAGCGGGGGTGTGAGTGGGGTTGTGCCTTCTGCTGGTGGTGCTCAGCCTGGTGCTCCTCCTGCTACCGGCACTTCCGCTACGGCTACCTCGACTTCGACTTCTGCTAGCAACGCATCGTCAACGAACAATGCACAGCAAACGCCCGCCTCACAAAGGGCCATGTCGGAATTTGGCGATGATTTGGATGAGGAGGGTAATGCTGGAGGAGCGTATCCGGCCGATTGGAGACCTAGCCCGGAAGTGTTTGCGAAAATGTCGAGCAAGGAAAAGAGGCAGTTGAGGAACAAGATTAGTGCGAGGAATTTTAGGGTCAGGCGAAAAGGTGCGTTCGTGTTTCGTTTTTCTTATGGTTCTTTCAATTATCTCGCTTTCTTTCTGGCCCTTGTGCCACCCTCTTACATCCCTGGCTCGTTCTCTGGTGTTTTCTCCCCATGCTTTTCGAGCGGACAGCAGGGCACCCTCCCGCGACACTCTTACGTCCCTGTGATCGATGGATTTCATTTCGTTTCGTTTGTGGGGGGTGGGGTGATGAGGTTATCTTATCGACATCGACCATCTTTTTTTCATCATTCATTTCGTCGATCTGCCTCGAGGCTCTTTTTTTTCTATGCCTCGAAGCTCCATCTTTTTTGAATCCGCCTCGAGGCAAAAGTTTCTTCTGACTTTTGCCTTGAGGCTTCTTTTTGAATCTGTCGCCTCGAGGCACGCACTTCATTGTGCCTCGATGTCCTCGTGCCTTTGGTTTCATGTGGAGAAGCATCTCGTGCTCTCCTCGTGCTTTCGGGACGCGACCTCTTATCCATCTTCATCTTTACTTCTCGCCCGACTCGAACGCGTGACTTACCCTACCCCCGATCACAGAATACATCTCGACCCTCGAAGGCGACATTGCAGAACGTGACCGTCTCCTCGAAGCCATCCGGAACGAGCTTGGTTCGTCTCGGAATGAGAACCTTGCGCTCAGGAGAGAGGTGGAGAATCTCAAGAGGGTTTTGATAGATGGACGAGGTCAGTATCTATTCCACCTTTCCTTACCTACCAGCTGCTGACAGTCATTCAATAGGCGTCGACGCATCAGCCGACGGCTCTCTGGACCACCTCCCCCCACCCGCTCCTCTCCCCGAGAAGAGCGCCGCAGAAGTCCTCGCTGCTCAAGCCGCCGCCGCCTCTTCCTCTTCCAACAATAACGCCCTCTTCAAACCCAACACCCAAAAAGACCTCCCGACCTCCCCACGCAACGGATCCAACTCGTTCTGGGGCGGCAACGCCGGTGGTATGAATGGGATGTTTGGAAGTAACGGTGTCACGGCGGTGCATACCACATTTGTGCCTGCGCCTGTGGTGGTTGGGCTGGGTGGCGCGAATATGGGAGGTCTGAGTCCGAATATGGGTGTGTATGGGGCGGCGTGGAACCAACCATCGCCGTTTGCGCCTGCGTTGCAGGAGAATATTTCGTCTCCTTTCACCCCGGCTTTGCAGGAGAATATGAACCCGTTGATGAGGGCGTCTGGAGAGAGCCAGAGAAAGGAGAGGGAGACGATGAAGAAGGGATCGCCTGCAGGGGAGCAAAAGGAGAATTCTTTCGAGGGTTTCGCGGATTCAAACATGTTTACGATGAAGAATATGGATGCGTATGTTGTTTTCTTTCTCCCTCATCTTGTAGATGCTAATGTGCGGACTGCGATTAGCTACCGTATGCACCTCTGGGGCAAGATGGCAGCGCAGTACCACGCACATCATCACCAACAACAGCAACAACCTCGTGCGATTGCGCCTTCCCCTCCGCCGCAACTCCCTCAGCAACAAACACAAGAGGCGACCGCGAACGTCTACCATCCCAATCTCTTGCAACTGCAACAGCTGGCGCATCAACAGCAGCAGTTGGTACAGCAGCAAGCGTTGTATCAGCAACAACTGCAGTACCAGCAGCAGCAGGGGTTGGCGGCGAAGATGGGGGTTGGGAGGACCTGGTTCTTGACTCCTTCGTCTGCTTCTACGCCTGGCTCGACACCCTCGGACACCC